GTAGTGTAACTAAAGCCAAATAATGAAAATATAAATGACTTGGAATGCGAAGGAATAAATATAATGATTTCGACAGAATTTACCAAATTTTAAAGGGACAGAATCCGTAGAAAATTGGTTGTCAGTAGATTATTAATTGTAAATATAGCGTTTCGTACTTTTACCACTTATAATAGCTGCGTTCAGCAGATAAAGCAGCTTTGCAACTGTTATAAAATTCTTGAATATGATTGGTTTATACATTTAGATTCAGTGAGAAATTAAGGGCAAGACCAATTATATTAAAGAATTTAACAACAGTTGCAAAGCTGCTATGTATTATTGGCTGCTGAACACAGCCAATAATACATAGATAACGCGTGAAATTAATCTTATTAATAAAATTATTTTCTGATCATATTTGTTTCTAAAATTAATATATACATCGTGTTTAAAAAATTAATGTTACTAATATTTTTTCAGCTAAATACAGATTATACAGAAAGGGTTTTTTGCCCAAAAAATTTTATTTTATTTCAAATTTATGAAAAATAGATTCGCGTTTAGTTGTCTGTATGAATAATTTTACTTTTTAGAACCGGATAGCATCGTTGAAAAGCAGGGTTGGGAAATCCGTTGGGCGAAACCTATTGGAGCGTCCAAGATCCTGGAAAGAGCACGATACATTCGTGAGGCGGTAACCAACTCGAGAGTCCAAAAAACCGAAAAGCCGTGTTCAAAAGAACGAAAGAAGCGCTCCAGCAAAATGCTCACGAAAACACACGAAGATAAGAGCGTATACCTGGCACAGATGAAGACCCTGCAAAGCTTCGTCGAGGAGAGATTCGATGCTACGTGCATTTTTGACTGCATACAAATACTGGATGCATCCGGATATATTGGCAGAGTAAACGTTTTAATAAATTTGCGACTTCTTATCTTTTCTTCATTCATTCATACTTAATGATTTACTGCTTTCTTTTGTGTGACTATGTTTTAGGTAATTGTTCGTAAAGGTGAGTTTATAATGTGCGAATTTCAAGGGGAGCCAGTGGCATCGAAACATAAAGCCATGAGCGAGGCATCTATTAAAGTGTACCAATATTTGACTAGTATGTTCCCGAATAATGGTACGTATAACATTTTGGCTTGTGTTATATTAAAAGCTTTTGATTATTTCATTCTCTATTTGCGCGTGTTGAATCAAAGGCGATTTTGACAAAATGCTCCTACGCGGATTAATTCAACTCCAACAACGAAAAACATGCGTAATATTTACAAAATTTCGATTTTCAATTGTAATCGACAAGTACCGTTTACCGCGAAATCTCGTTCGTGCTTTGTTTGCCTCGAAAAATATTTGCAATACACAATGCGTCGCATTTTAATGATATTTTGCGCGTATTTTTGTAGCGCCGCAGTTATTCGAACAACATTATATTGTATCAGGAATGGACATTAACCCTGTGATTGGTACGCCGATTGTTTGGCATCCAGTTCAAAATTAGATTAGTTACTATTACTTTAACATTTGTTTCCAGTTTTACTTTTTAATTGTTATATACACACGCGAAAGCTACTGACGCATTGCAAAAAAGAGGTCGATAACTCTACTTCATCTCTATATTTTAACTCAAAAAATTTTTTAATGAGTGTCAAATGTTGATAGTAATCAATGAAGAATATTTCAGTTCGACGTTTGATTCTAAGTTACAATTCCAAGACAGTGTATTTTGGAATATCGATGCTCAAGATATATTTAACTTTATTTGAATGTCTAAGATAGTTCTAATTTTAAATTACTAAAATTTGTAACATTACAATGTTGATGAAATTTTAATCTATACAGATATTATCTATGATGTATACAAACGGCCACTTATTTTAATGATAACAATTATCAAAGTTCTTGATTCAAAAATCAATTTTAAATAACAATTCTTACAATTAAACAATGACATTTTCAAAAAGTGTCTAAGATATATTGAAAGAAAAAATGATTAAAGTTTGTGCAAAATTACTATGTATATTTGATGATTTACAATCTACAATGAAAATTTATGAGTATTTACACTGATGGCCATTTAAAAAAAATTATCTTAAAATTTATTATTTTAAAAAGTTTACAATGTAATGAATTTATTTCTAAATATATTTATTCGTTTTTGATTATTCAAAAAGTCTTATACTTGCAAATTTCATACACTGTAAGGGATTCTGTAACTTTTTACTTTATTAAAAATTACTTCATTTTATCTAAATTTAAATTCTTAAATTCTATATGTTTATTACACGTTATTAAAAGATATTTTATTTAAATATCAATGACCAAATACACGAGCACAATACAAGATGTTTTATTAAAATCTTAAAATTAATTTAACATACTATTAATATGAATATAACAAATAGACCTTTCGACTCAGAGTCTTCTTCAATATAATTAAATAAACCTATCTATTTCACTTGACAATATTGTAAATTGAGAAATAATTTTTCCATATCAATTAATGATTATTGACTTGGTTCACCATCGATAATCATCAATTGACATGGACAAATTATTTCTCGATTTACAATATTGTCAAGCGAAATAGATAGGTTTATTTAATTATATTGAAAAAGACTCTGTGAGTCGAAAAGTCTATTTGTTATATTCATATTAATGGTATGTTAAATTAATTTTAAGGTTTTAATAAAAAACATCTTGTATTGCTCGTGTATTTGAATTGTTTTGCTGTGCAAACTTCGAGCGTTATTTACTTTTATTATTTGTATTATATTTTATTTAATACATCTTTATGTATATGTAACAAAAAAATTAATTTCTATGTTTAATTTAAATAAGATATCAGCTTTGTTCAGAATAATTATTTGAATTGAAAGATTTTAATTGAAAGAACGCACAGTGTGTTACATCGAATTTGTGATCACATGTTACGTTTAGTTCATAATATCTTCATAATGCATAATTTATATTGCATAGCGAAAAAATTAATTTAATAAAGTTATTATTTTTGTACGAATTTATAATCTTATTTTTTTTTAATCTTCCTTATTCTATTAATATAGAGAAGAAATACTTGTCATATTTTTTTTAAATACAGATCTTAAATATACATATAAAACGCTATACATTAAAGTATATAGTTACGCGTTTTTCTTTTTATTCATTTATTTTTTAAGGATATATACTAATTACTACTACGTAGCGATTAAGAGTTCTCGCAATTATAGAGTACACAGTTATAAATTTATAGGCAAAAGTGCCTCAAGATTTATCTTTATCCTAAAAGAAATCCCTAAGAAGACGGAGACATAGCTCGTTTATCATTTCAATGAGAAAGGGCTGAGCGCTCTTTGCATTGAGGGCAGAATCGTGGAGTAATCCTCCAGGATCCTTCGTACCGTTTCGTAATCGGTGTTGCCGGTAGCATTGCTCGGTCTCATACAACGTACTAATCGACTGGTTTGATTGCTGCATTCGGCCATACTATTTCTCTCCTGCACGGTAAAGGTCTCGTACGTGAACACGAGCAGCTTCTCCACGACGCAGTCAAGCACCTTGTCACTCGGCAACTCGCCGCGGCCGCTCTCGACGCAATCCTTGATCATGACGTTCATCCAGCTCCAATCCTCCCACATGTCGAGTATTTCAACCTTTTGGTTCTCCAACTGCCACGTCAAACGAGCGCGATACCTGAAAGCGCGTTATACATGTTAGTAAATAAAAAAAAAATTATTTATTTTATCTATAGGGTTTTTTTTTTACTTATATTTAAAAGGATGTTGAGCTTCTTTTATTCAAATAATTAAAGTTTACAGACCAATGAAAAGAAAAATTTCATTAGATTAATCAAAGTTAATAGTGAAATAGCTTAATCAGTCTCTTTGTTAATGTTTTATCGATATTTCGATTTAACTTACGCCCATTTCCACGGATTCTTGCTGAATTTTACTTTCTTCAGATTACCCAGATAAGCGAACATGTTGTAGTCGATAGAGTTAAGTTGGTTATAGTCGAAGTAAAAGTTTTGTAAATTACTGAGCATTTGAAAGATCGTGTAGTCGACCCACTGAATGACGTTGAATGACAAATCCAGAGTCTGCAGGGAGTACATGTTCACGAACCAATCTCCCGGCACGTACGTCAATTTATTGCCCCAAAGCATCAGTTTCTTCAATTTCGTAAGGCCTATGAATGCTTGAGTATCGCACGTTTGTATGCCCGACTCGTGCAGGTCTAAGGTCATGAGAGTCGCTCCGAATCTCGCAAAACTATGTCTTTAGCAGAATGAAGTGAAAAAAATCGCAAATTAAAAATGTCAAAGACACGAGAAATTCACGTCGGCGCAAAAGCGCGTGTAATATATTCGATGAAAAATGAATATTCAAAACAGAATTATTCAAAATAAACACAAATATTCCGAAATATATTTGTATACAAATTTTAAAAGGAAATACTGAATATCCATAAAATAAATGAAAAGAGATAGAGAACAAATTCTCAAAAAATAAATATCGGAGAAAAATATACGAAATACACGATAAAATAAAATTACATCATTCTGTATCACGATAAAAATCGATTATATCATAATTCAATTCAATAAATTTTTTCTTACAATCTTCGAATAATTTTTTTCTTACCCGGGTATGTTAGGAATATTTGAATCAAAAATCGCAATGATCGTCGTGTTGGTCCATGCTTTGTCCAAGTACTGTCGTAGCGTTGTTAATTCATTGCACCGAAAGCCAACATCATTCGTTTGTTTATACGCGATCTTCACACATGGTGACAACAAAGCCGCTTGGAAAAGCATGTAAAGAAGATAAATTATTAACAAAGGCTTCATCGTCGTGAATTCGTTCGCGATGAAGTCATTGAATTAACTAAGTCCTCGAGACAGCGAACGATGGATAAAACATACAATGTGGGCAGCACATCCTCATGACTTCTTCTTCCTGTCGATGATAACGCAAATCAGCATGTATATAATTGAATTGAAATTTCTGCGCGTTTTTATTTTTATCGCCAGAAAAGCATCGGGACATCCTGAAAGAGAAAAGTCGCGCTCGCGGATGATAGTAAAAACAACATTTATTGTCATACATATATACATGTCACAATTCTCGTTAAATACGACCGTTCCTAGAGACGAATAAATTTAATTCAGTCAATTTCGAAAGACCAACGAATTCCGAATTCAGTCGGTTCTTAATATGGACCCCTCATTAATTACTCTGTCGATGTATACGCTTATCTATTAACCGCGCGTAATTACACGAATCAATTGGAACGACTTTTATAAGTCTTATGCTTAATAATGTCTACTATTTGAAAATATGTATAAAATGGTGACCTTTTTTCGAAACAAAAGAATGCTGCACGTCAATTTATCGCCTTATATTCGATAAAAAAATGAATATTAGCAAATACTGTATCATCTAGAATTTTGTATAATGGCAGTTATAAGCGTGCGTTTTTAACAGCGTAATCTGCACCTACTTCTCAGATACCTTTTCGTGATTTCATTTACTTTTTAGACGTAACTACATTTATTGTCATAAAAATGTCTTATTATTTACAGCAAAATATCGATTCTCTCGATATCTCCATCACATTTTTCTAACACCTAAACGAAAACATGGCAAAAAAATTACTTGAATATCAATTACACGTAATTCCACTCTACGTGTCTTTCATCAATCGAAATAACGACAAATAATCCGATTTCGTTGCAAATGAACGATCTCGTTACGAAATGTCTTGCTCTTCGTTTCAATCATGAATTAAAATCATCAGGACGATCACGACGAAACCGACGTAACATAATCGCGAATCACGTAATGATTTAACGCCGTTCTGGCCGTCCAATCGTGTGGGCGCCGAATGCGCTGGAGCTGGTGCTGGCGGCGGAAACGCGGAGATTCTCGACTTGTTCGCGATATTCGGTGATGAGCTAGACAAATTCCGCCTGGACATTGGCGTGGTGTGACCCACATTCTTCAGGGTCAGATCCGACTCCGTTTTGTTAAGCACGTACGAGTATTTCTTTCCCTTCTTCTCCGTTTGCTTCCGCCAGATATGTTTTTCGATAAGCTCGGTATTTCGTGTGGAGGCTGTCGTTGATTTGGATATCTGCAGCTCTGTAAATTCGATTTCAGAGAGTAGAACAAAGGCGATTATCGGTATTGTCTGACAACTAAGAGGCCAGATGACATAAACATTTTAAAGAGTCTAATAGATATAAAACATATATAAATTAATTGTGGGATACAATCCATTTTGTTCTTTACGTGTGTATCATATTTTCATTCTTTAAAAATCATAAGACGACGAAATAGATATAAATACTTTCGACGGAGTTTGATAAGATTATGGATTTATAATATTTAATTTATGAATTTTTTACATTTATACACGGAGAAAATTTTATATTAAGCTTTAATACAATTTTAAATTACACTTTACTATGTCTTGTATTTTCGATGAACTCTCACAACATGATTCCAATTTAACTTTTACTATGGTAATACTAATTTTTATCACATAAATAAAGTAATTATTTTGTTAAGCCATATTCTAACATAAAAACAGTTAATTTTTACTATGAAAAAGTGTAAAAATTACGTCATATATACTATTGTTTTTAAAAAAATAACTATAGCATTTAAACTTATAATTTACATGAAGACGGTAGCTACTACCACATTATAGTAATTTTAAATATAAAATCTTCTCCGTGTATTAATAGTTGTTACTGTACCTTGTAGTCTTATGGATCCTTCCGCTTTTCCAAAAGCGTTTTCAGCGGAGCACGTGTAAGTACCGAAATCAGATTTGTCAAGGCGTTTGACAGTGAGATTTAGCTGATATGCATAGTCGTTGATGATTATTTCTGATATATCGTGTTTCTCGCTCTCAAGTAGTTTGACTCCTAAAGTAAATATCTTCTCTTCAGAGATAATTCTTCTATCGAGAATATATAGATTTATAATTTATATTCGAAAACAAAATTCTTTTTCATTTTAAGCTTTTCCGAGGAGCGGGGAAAAAAGACAATAGAGTCATTTTTTATTAATATAAAAGAAATGCATATTTTTATATTTTCAATAAAATTAATAATTCAATGGAATGAATAATAAAATTGATATGGCTATTGTTGCAGGGAGAATTGCTGAACTATCTAACTTTTTATCGAATTTTTATCAAATAGCTATCTAAAAATTTTTATAGTTTTTAATCTCGGTGCATGTATAATAAAGTTAACGTAGATATAATATTCTCAGTTAAAATGAAATGCTTTATATATACCTTTATTGAGTTTTTTTTGCGAATCCTAGGATGAAGAGTGCCAACGAATACAATATACATACAAGTCGATGAAATAGATAAAGAAAAGATTTATCTTAAATAATGACTGGAATAAAAGAAAGAGGCAATTACGAAGCAACTAAGCTGTGCTCGAAAGGAATAAACAAGTATTTGGTACACGTGGAATGAAAGTCGGTGTGAAATCTCTCACCATTATTTCTGTACCATGTGTTTAGAGCCTTCGGCGAAGACTCCACGTAGCACTGAAGAAGGACGTCGCTGTCGACGGGTGCCGCTACTAACTGGTTTGAGACTTTAATCAGCGGTTTGACTTTAACGAGAAAGATGCAATTAGTCGTGTAACTTGGTCGAACGGAAGTTGCTACCTAGGAGCAACACGCGTACACTTACAACGGACGTTGACGTAATATCTCTTGCTGACCGACGGCGGCACTCCGTTCGACGCGATACAGAGATAAGATCCCATCTCCTGTCGTTGAATACCGCGCAGATGAAGTTGCTCGCCCTCAAATGTACGTGCTGCTTTAACATTTCCGACGTGATAAAGGATGAAAGATTCGAAAATACAGATGTCTTTCAGACGCTCTCAATTTTCGACGCATTAAGCTTAAACCGATATCATTTCTCAAATATCATCTCTTTTGTGCAAAAGATGCACTACATATTATCCGTGTCATCACGGTTTCTTTTTCGCAAAATAAAAAAATTGTAATAGATAATTAATCAATAACTATATCAATATTCCAATAACAATTTTTGTCTCGGTTTTCAGTAAGAAATCTGTGTTTATAAAAATTCTTCTAGCTAGGTATGAAATATTTTTTATTATTGTAGATTACTCCTTGTCTTCAATCATGAGAAAAGAAATGTCCACTCTTTTCGAAAATTTATATATAATAATTTGCGGAATGTGTGAGTTCGTGAAATCGTCTTGTCGCATAAAAACATGGTAATTAGAAGCTTCCGAAACAATATAAAACCAGGCGTTGTAATGTGTGATTCTACGGCAGAGAGGAGACGGTGGAGTCACTTTGGCGGGGTGGAGATATCGCGACGGCATAACGTTTTCGCGACGCAGTGTACACACTGGATATTGCAATCGGGTTCGCGAGTCGATAGAAGGGGGGGCCACGGCGAAAAGGAAATATATGTAAAGTCAACATCCATCACTCACAGTCAGGAAGGCTAATCGGATGGCTGCTTTTCCGCGGGACACCGTCGTCGTGCACCGTCGCTCTTTTAAAAGTGATCCGCTTGTAGGGGAATATTTCATCTCGAAAATCACATCCACACCGTATGGATCAATTAAAGATAAATCGCTGGACATACGGTTTCGTTTAGCCACGACCAATCGCGTTCTTTTAGACCCGGCATCATAATCATTAGTCATATCCCGACGGTGGGAATTTTCATCTATCTTCGGTGATGACGTATTTCGCGTTTAATAGCATCCTTTGGTAAGGTGTGATGGAATTTTATTTCAACTTTTAAGACCGCAACTGGCCATCATCTTACTTTCACACGATAATTTAAGCATTATTGTCTAATTAACAATTAATCAAATCGGAATATGAGTTATTCTATTGTTATCCATGTATTGTACCTTTGAGTGTACTGTACCCTGAGAATTACGTAATAAGCGTGTTTCTGTCAACATTAATTATCTTTTCTATACAAATGGAAGAATCGATTTTGCAGAAATATCTAAACATTTATAGCTAAATATAATTCTGAAAATAATTTTATTGGACTATAATTCAATAATAAAAGACACATGTTATAATCAGCTACTTTGGAATATTCAAAAAGTATTTTTTCAGCGTCAATTTACATACTGAAAAAAATCTAGACATTTGATGTGCGTTATGTACTTTAATTAGAGACATTTGCATTTGTTTAACATTATTAGAAATTGTTTAGCAATTTTGTTTAACATTTTACATCTTACTGATTGATACATTGTTATTTTCTGTAAGGCGTGTGGTTTACAAAACGCATTTTGAAAGTTATTTTCTGTGTCTATAACTAAATTTTTAAATATTTCAGCAAATCCGTTCTTTTGAATACTGCAAAACGTATTATTGTCTCTTTGAATTTTTATGCAAATCGGGAGAAAAATATTTTCATCTCATATTTTATATAATTTTCTCTTTTCTAACGTAATTTTTATGTCTTTTTAAAAATGTAAAATTTTTTTACTCCCTTGTATGCATTCGTTCGAATGTCTAAAAACTACATAGCATCATACTTCGCTTAACGCTGTTCTCGTTCCTCAGCGTGATGTTACGGCCATCTTCCCGTCGCCAAATCACCACCGGTTCCGGGTTGCCAGTAGCTCGACATCGCAACATCAGATCGCCGTTTTCCTTCGCGGTCAGCATATCCGCGGTGTTATCCAAGTCCATGATATCGGGTGGTATCACGACCTTCATGTGGCCGGTCTACGCGTAAGATTCGTTACTACTCGAAAAAGTATCGATCTCGTCGACAATTTAATCACTGTACTTGACAGAGTTCAATTCAATTCAAAATCAATAAGAAAAAGTCTTGAAATATCTAATGTCTATTTCTACCAATGTAGATTAACTTTAATCTCCGTTCAATTTGCTCTTCATCTTTTTCTAATTCTTAGAATTTAAGGAATGAGTATAATATCAAATTTAAATTTTTAGACATCAATTAATATTGTCAGTGTTTAGTTTTTCTTTTCGATATGTTTTTAATTATTTTCAAAACGGGTGAAAGAAAATTAAAATACGAATCGATATCCTTTGTGTACGATAATTAATCTTATACAAAAAAAAAGATCCTAATAAAGAATAAAAGCATCTCCGTAGTCTGAGCTGACTTTTCTCTTTCATTCGCGAGCTCGAGCGAGAGAAACAAAAAAAAATTCGTTCTAGCTGAATTCGAAAAAAGTAACTATCAGAAAAGAACTTTACGTCGCGCGACACGAGCGTTTCCTAGTTCCGCGCTGAATATTCTTCGTTTTATACGGACGTACGCAGCGTGTATACGTTGCATTCACGCGGCATTTGCGTTATACAGAGGGTCGGAGCGACATATCATCCCCTATTCGGCGGCAGTGTAGAACGTGATAGAGAACGGCGATGACTGTCGTGCTAATGTTCAACGGCTCTACTGACCTGGCTCCTCATGGGATCCGTATTAACTTGACACATGTACGTGCCGGAGTCGTTCGGCTGAACGTTAGTCACGTGCAGCTTCCATGTGTTATGGCCGTTGTGAGTGACAGACAAGCGTGGGTTGTGCGCCACCATGTGCGTGTGAATGGCCAAAATCGCACGCGAATCCGACTTTATCCAGGCGACCTGCGCGTGACGTGACAAAGATGTTCATTTCGCCCATACAGTGACAAAGACGATGTATCTAGATACAGAATGCTTGGAATAATAATTATAAAGCACAGCCGACATTAAATATTATTAATATCTATATATCTATTAATTATATGTTTCACGTGATACAAATTCACCGAATTTATAATATGTATGAATTTATTAGAACTTCGCAAATGGTAAAGTTTTCTCGCATGACGAATATATTTCGCAAATATCTTTCGGTAATATAAATGTCTTTATAAACGTCAATATGTATTTCTTTATGACTAGTAATCGTAAATATTGAAATGTTTTCAATGTATTGCCAGCGCGCGCGCACACACAATTGCGATTTAAAAAATATACATTTAATTTAACTTGCAGTTGTTCAATACTATTTGCGTCAACATTTATGTAGCAAATCGTAAATATCAATGTGAGTGGTTGATAAATAAAAAGATTGATAAAGATATTTTTCTCGAAAGTCGAAAGTTTTCGATGATAAACACGATAGATATTTCGAATATAAATAATTGCTGTATAGGTTGCGTTCCATTTAACGCTGACAACGCTCGTGGAATCATTTTACCCTTGTTGTTTATCAAATATTAAACAAGGACAAACGATGCTCGCGAGAGTTGCGATTAAATGGAACGCAGCCATAATTACAGAAATGGATAACTGATTAGAAATAGCAATAAAAATTGTAAGACACGATGCGCTATTATTTTATTTAGCTTTACATGACACGGTGCTCGGAAATAGATAATACGCACTTTTCAATTTATTGAGCAAACTATTAAGAAACCACGATAACAATTATAACGATTGCACTTTACAGTTGATCTAGGAATTAATATAAATAAACTAATAAATTAAGTAATTAAGAAATGTGTATATTAAACAGATGATATGTATATAACTTTCAAGACTTTCATTAGATCTTCTTAAAAAAACAGCGACAAAAGAATGCTATAAAGATAAATAACGTGCAGGATGTATACGTATACATGTATGCGGAAGGAGAGGTTTTTGCTCTTTCTCACATGGGAAAAGAGGTGGTTGCATTTTGCAAAAGGAGAAAAGTAGGAGATTGGGTCTCTAAAGGCGCGAACTCTTCATTAGCACTGTGTCGAGCTGGTGCTTAAAAAGCGTCGCGGTGCTTGCGAAAGGCGCTTATCGGTATTCATACTGAGACGCTGGCGCGACGTTGGAGCTGCACTCTCAAATTCCGCTCAGGTTTACGTTGCTACAACCCCTATTTCGAGCTTGCCAATCCCCTTCTCTTTCGCGCTGGCACGGATCGGTAGCTCGATCTGTCATATTTCAGATGGCGGTGAAGTCAATGAGAGCAAGATAAAAGGGCTTTTAAATTGCGAACAAAAGCTCGTGTCGCTGCGTTTCGATCAACAATGGGATTTAAGGTGTATGCACGCGGATACGTAAGAGAGAGAGAGCAGGGTATTTACCTGTTGGGAACAAAGCTTTTGTAGCGACGACTCACTCGCCAGAATCTATACATATATCTCCGTGTGATCCATCGCGGATCAGGAGCAATTGGCCAGGTGTCCTCATAGACATCTGATATGTCTGACGCACGCGACATGATCTACACGACATTACATCTCAGGGTATTGCATTTACGGTGGTATTACGTGGTATTCAGTTACTAAGTTTAGTATTCAGATATCCATACGTATAGTACATAAAAATTTCACGTTTTTAAATTTACTCGTACTTACAACTCGTATTGGCATACACGTATTTGCAGCGAAAGAATTTTATTTCCGAAATAAGATATTTAATATTTTTCTATACTCTCTATAAGAGCTTTATCTCTCTCAATCAATTTGAAATACATCACCGACGTAACACTATGCGAGTCTAATTACAAGGCTTGAATTTCCTGCGGAGAGATATAGCATCGGAGGCTTCAGATACGGCTGCACCGATCATTACACGGGACTGCGGTAAAGGGTTAAATTTCTGAGATTAGATGTTACCGGATGCACGAGACGCGGTTACGTGTAACGCAACGACGAGTTCGAGCCAGCTGCCAATTAAACAGCTTTCAATGCAGATATTTTGATGCGGGAACAAGCACGTTTTTGTAACGCGAATTTCGTTTCCTACTATCGCAAAACATAAATATACCTCTCTCTCTTTTCTCCATTTAGAAAAGTATAATGTGCACATTGCAGAAAGAAGTAAAAAATAAAGTCACGTAAAAAATGTATATTGTACGTGATTAAACAGAAGGAAGAAAGACAAAGAAAAAGGAAGCAAAAAGATAATATTTTGCATGCGCGCACGCGAGGTTTCTCTCTATGCCAACAATACATCTAAACGAGATAGGAAGGGAAACAAAAAGGTAAATGTTATTACAGTAACTGATCGGAAATTGAACGAAGTTGAGATTGAAGCTTCTCTGACTTTGCACGAAGATACAAGTATCATGATTACATATGTATAAAAAATGCGTATAGGAAGATGTATGGAGAGTCATTAAAGATTTTTTTTTCTTTCACGTAATTTTCTTCTAAATGGACATCTTAAATGTTTCTATCATTATTTATTACAGCTAGAACTTTATTCGTGTAATAAAATTTTGAGTTACATAAATTTAAATTCAACGCTATTAGTTGCAAAATTACGCCTATTCTTTGTACAGTTTCCCATCTAATCGCCGTCTGGTTGAAGTACATGAGGTGCGTATAAACGGTGTAGCAAAGTCAGCGCGAATTGCATGGGAAAAAGGAGAACGGCGGGAAAAATCAGGGCTATTCAGCATCGCTATATTAGCAGATCTGATTTATGTCCTTTCTTCCGTCGGTTCCTTTCTCTTTCCGGTGGGAGGGAGGGAGGGAGAGAAGAGTCCTTCGGCACAGCCGCGAGCGACGAGATCAGACAAGAAGACGACGGCGAGCATCTCCACGAACACCCTCCAACAGCGTTAGAAACGCGATAGAAACGATTGTCGCGATCTGAGCACGCAATCAAAACTTGGACTTCTTCTTGAAAGTGAATTACTCGTGACCAGGGTCCGTCCCAGAAGAGATTTCCTGGATTCTAGCGCGTACACACAACCGAACGCTTCCTTCGCAAACTCCTGTATACAAGTCAGTGATTGTAAATACACGAAGAGCGAATGTTTCTGCGCGTTAAATCGTTGCAATGTTGACATGGGGCAACAATTGGGAAAAACAAGCGACCTGTCGATACAGCGGCTAAATTGCTAACAATAATTGATAACGTTCAGTAAAATAAACGTACAAATATATTCTCGCTTCAGAACAAACGTGACAAATGGAATCAACCTATTTGGAGGTGAAGTTCCCTGCAATAAAAATTTCGAGGTGGTTTTCAAGTAATCAGCGATTGAAAATATGTTGAAAGGGCTTTTTTGCGAGTAATCAAAGCTTGGAAGAGTAAATAGATAAGAAATTTGAATTGTTTAGCTAATATATATATATATATATGGTAAGTGTGCTTTAACAGAATCTTAATTTAAGATTTTATTGCGAAAATATTTAAAGATGAAAGTTAAGACGACAATAATAAATAATATTAAGAAAAAATCAATCCTAAACTTGTCATTGAATATTTGTCATTAACGTTTAATTTATTCCCGTTTATTCAATTTATTTTATTTCGATCGTATTTACATATTTGCAAAATTGAATTTGAGAAGACACGCGAGTTTTGATGAGATTTTCATTTCGAACAATCTTTTAACGTCCGGTCTTCACGTATCTGTAATCGTTGTAAAAATATTACGAATAGAGAAAACCGCATATAGTAAGATCGATCGAAATAGATAGTTTTACTGATACGAAAATAGTGTTCTTTGTTGCCTCGATACGTTCTTCCGGTTTTGTCTTTTTGTCATTGGAAGATGCTGCGAATACTCGACGGTTTCGTCTGATTTACATTGTTTCGCTATGCAGATCCAAGGCAAACATCTTGACATTTGTAGCGTCGCTCGCGGCTTCTCCCTTAGGAGTTCAAGAAACGACAATCGAAAAAGTCGATGGATCGTACATATCTGACATTTTTACGAGAGTTAAGTTATATCTCGTGTATTTCAAAACAGCATGGGATACATAATTTTTATAGTGTAGTCTTACAGAATAGGTATTAAATAATTGAATATTGATTCGATTTGATTGATATTACTTATTTTATTCTACTGGCTTATTAGAGAATATTATTAATATTACTGCTCATTATTTTCCTCTACTCTTTTTTTGTGTTGCAGGGTTAGCGTCTATTTATAGTATTTATATGGCATTGGTAGCGCATTATGCTTCATAATTCAGTTTCATTCTTGAATGACCATTGCTCGAAATAACATGTTCTAATAATATTCGCTTAATAATCGAGCGGTGGAATAATATAGTTCCAGATGGTTACATCGCAATTACTCGACAATACAATCTGTCTGAGCTACATCCGATATATTAAGCGAAAATACGATCTAGGCCACGCTACTTACTATTTCGAGCGGTGGCCCTAATCGACTAGCTAATTACAACATGCGCACGAGAGCAACGCGAGTACATTTACCTTGTAAGACTGGAGATGATTAACGACGCAGGTGAAGGAGACGTCGCGACCTTGAGTGACCGTGTGATTTTCTAAGAGCGCCAGAAATTCGGGCAGGACCTCGGACTTGGGCGGCGTTTGTCCTGAATTGTGCAATTAGCGATTATGCGCCAGCGATTACGGCTAAAACGATCAGCAAAGTTAATCCCTAATTAGCCTACCACGCGGCCAACTTGCCGTCGATACGAATATGATGTATGGACGGCGTATTAGAGAAATTTCGGATCCTCCAATACAAGAATGCCCATCATCTTTTTGCGTCGCACGAACAAAAAATTAATTTAGATCGCTGCATGCTATTTATACATGTAACGAGAGGTCGGTCAACCGTATCATCGTGCGATATTCATCATTCTTTCTATGGATAGCATATTGTAGAATTATATTACTATAAGTGTCCTGTATGATGCGTAACTTTGAATACGTCAACTTTTAATGAAAATTAATTTTTAAAGAGATTGTAGATATTTTCTTAATATAGATATAGATAAAAATTAGCTTGTATATTTTTTGATTTATTGCGAACGAATAATATATATTTGACTGTAACGTTTCATAAGTCTTCACTGCGAGAAAAGTTTTTGTGACTATAATTATGATAATTATATATTATCATAATTACAGTTATTATTGCTATAATGTTAGTAATAATAAATATATGTAAGTTTTATCAATAAATATATCTAGTTAGAACCAAAAATGATTATAAAATATAATTATTATTGCCACAAAAACGATGCAATTACTAATAATTCAATTATAATTTATATCTATTTTTTGGATCGGTAATATTTTATATATAAATTATTACAGCAATAATAAACATAATTAAGATAATATGTACACTATCGGAAAAAAATATGTCGAATTTAACACATACCGCATGTCGCAAACGATCCACTCAAATTTTCGGGTTAATTAAACAACACAAGATGAATATGTTAGAAGTCACATAAATATTATGTAAAATAATAAATACAAAAAAGATAATATCGACATAGTTTGTAAGAAACCGTAGAAGCATTTTTTTTCAGAAAATTAATATTTATGATATGTTAAATTAACACGTATTTCATTCATTTTTTTATCTTAGAATTTACGTTTTAAAACACATTATTTTTACTTGTTTACTTACTCATAAATTGTGTCACTTTGACATTAAGAAGCATTGAATATCAATTTTACACAAAATATTTAAGTAACATAATTACATTATGTTAAATTAACACTCCAATGTTAAAAAATTCAACACAAATTGTTAACACGGAATGTGAATGGACCGTTTCCGACACAAATATACAATTTTTTTTACTGTGAGTTATAGTCACAAACACCAAAACTTTTCTCTCAGTACTTAATATACATTCTATTTTATTATCATATAAATCTTCTGGAACCGCGATTTTTGTTCGTATTTTACTATGCAACATCCAGGGACAGTCAGTGCGCCGTATAATGGGGTGTTGATTAATCACGTCGAACCGTTATATGGACCCCATATAACCTCACATCACGATTGTCACCCTTCGCGTTTTCGCGTGGCGGATGCCAATTCGATATGACGTTACACAGGGAGATTGTGCATTGATTATCCCCGCAATAATGGAATAGAATCTAATAGGTGAAATAAAAAAAAGATATATATTCTTCCTGTATCCCTTTTGATTAGCTCGAGGCGAACACGCGAGCACGAAGAAAAGAGAGAAAGTTTCGCGAGAAACGGAGTGTTTATTAATCACGTGGAACACGGCCGAGCGAAAGTTCGCTGACTTGTGGAGTAATCATCATCTATCATGATCTATCGCGTGGAAAGGCTATCCCCCGAAGAGCAGGTAATACAATATTTTCGTTGGTCCGCACATGCGAGTCGAGTACTCGACGACCTATGCACTGTGATTTGTATGTACAGTGTAATGTCGAGAAATCAACTCCCACATTGCCGTACCCTACCATCGTGGGTCACTAGTGACCGAGCGATTCCTTACTTTTTCCTAACTTTTTCCCTGCTTCTTTCGGTAATGATAATTTAAATTATACTACATTTTGTTATTTTTCAAAATGAAGTTTAAACATTTGTTCTAGAAAGTCGAATGTACGTTTGCGAATTTTTAGAGATTTTTTGAACCATTTTAAATAGGCGAAAACATGACCGGGTTCAACCGGGTGAACCACGATGGTAGGAATTGAGCATGGTATTGTAAGAGTTAAAGAGGAATCTCTATAAATATTGAATTATAAGAAGATAAATGTTTCAGGTATATGTGAATTATTACAAATACGTTTCTCATATTTTATTATTTTTTATATTTACAAAAATCTACTGTTTTACATATTAATTTAATAAAGTACGATGGGTTTAATTGCATTCATACACTGAAATGTCATAGTAAAATACGAACAAAAACTGTACGTAAATACAATAAAATATTCACTGAATTATGAAAAAATTATGAAAATTGGTCCAATAAATTCTCATAATGATTTAGGTTATAAAACTGTTACTAGAATTCATTGCAAGAATGAATATATAATTATATAAATGAATCCAGTTATTGTATCAATGAATTAACTACATTAAGTCGGACATTGTTTAACAATCATTCATTAGACCAAAAGTAACCAAAATTTTTTTCAGTGTAAACTCTCTATCAAATTTCCTTCATGTTTTAATTCTAATGTAATAAATATACGTAGATTTCTGTAAGTTTAAGATTAAATATCATTAAAAAAAAAAGAAGTTAATTTACGGTCATGCAAACGAATAGAGATAATAAATAAATAAGCGTAACGATAGAGAATGCGAGCGCGTTTCGTTTTCCGAGAGAAAAAGGGGGAGAGAGGAGTTGGCGGCCTGTGCTACTTTGCAATTCCTGCTTCTTTTTAAGCGGAGATTCTTTTTAAGCTCTCGCGAAAACGCGAAAGGCTACCGATAGCAACGTCTTTGGAGAAGGATTCCATTTGATTCTTACCGTAACTGGAGCAAAGAAAGGCGGCGTAAAAGTAACGGGCACGATACCAATCGCGGCGCGGCGCGGCGCGGCAGTCCTTGGGTAGAAGGGAAGGAGGGAATTCTGTCATTTCGTGCGGATTAAAAACTTGTAACTTTTGCTTCTCTCTCCTCGCAACTCCCCCGGACGATTTCCTCTTTTTTACCTGTCTCTCGTAAAGATCTACGCGTCACGGAAATATTATACTTACCTTATATCGAAGTGGTATATTCGAGACTTCTTACCGAGACTGACGTGGCAGAAGGTGACAATAAGGGCGCACAGTGCGAAGTTCCGTGATGCCATGCCATAGGGTAAGCCATACGCCATACGTACTGCAACAAAAAGCGTGAGATTGAAGCAAGCACTTTGTCAAACATATTGAATGAACCAAGTAACGGTGTCACATTTAGATTGGAAATTGTTTAATGACTTTTTTAATTTTTTATTTATTACTGTTATTTATTATTAATTGATTGCTAATTTTTATAGTAAAACGTCATTTACAACTCGTCGATTTAAAATTAATATAAACATAGGCAAGTCGAGATGCACGGAAAATCCTTTTACTCTCAAATAATTAACTTTGGATCGGGATGTTTGAATATCGATTGTAGTGATTTTCAGCGGTACGATTTCTCTTCCACATCTACATCAGGTAATAATTTATACATACGAAAATAAGTAATACGAGTAATTAAAAAATACCGCAAAAAAATATGGTAATACAGAAATTTCGAACAGAAAGGATTAATTTTTTAATCATATTTTATCAAAATTTACAAATATATTAATTTATAATTAAGAACAAGCTACGAGATTAAAAGTAAAAGATTTTTGAGCATGACATGTGACTACTAAAAATCAAAGTAGTGCAAACAAACTAGCTAGAAAATGTGACGATATTAAAACTTAAAAAACCTGCAAAAATTACTGCAAAAGAAATATTTAAAGGCAAAAAATTTTATCGAATAAGAAATAGCAGATACGATACATACGAGTATACTAATTCAGTCATCTTGTTTGTTATTTTGTAAATAAGGTTTATGTGAAAGTAAGATCGGTAATTAGAATTTTCATCAACATAACATACATAAATTTCGCGTAAAAGGATATGCGCAAAGTAGTTGTTATGGCGAGGCAACGGCAACCGATATCAGGGGCGAGAGAGAAGAGAATTTTGCGACGTCGTCGGTCGTTCGAACGCATGTTCGGAACGAGGATGTGGAACGGAGAAGGAGGTCGAAGGGAGGAGAAGGTCGGAATCGCGTGAATATTAACTCGACAGTTGGTCGCCACATAAACGCCAACCCGCTGATATATCTGCCGTTCGCCCATCGTCGACCGACCAGCACCGCAATAATACTCTCGAATGGCGGTGGAGGTACACCCTCTTCTCCGCACCCTCTCACGATATACCTACGCACACTCTGATCTGCGTCTCGGGAGCACACGTGCGCGTGGATGCGTATACATATATGTATGTAACGACCACAGTCCGATGGTCGAATGAAAATTTCACTCACGCTAAATAAAGCTCGTCCTTTATAACTTCGGCCAGTCTTGCTCTCGTGTTCGCCAAAAATACAGTCTCGTTTAAGTATAAGTTACTCACTCTGTAGTTGCTCCACTGTCGTTTAACACTTTTCCAGGTTTCCTCATCCTTTCCTGTTTCTTTATTTCTCCTTGTCCCTTGTGGCACTCGCACGACACTCGAAATCATAATTCATCACAATCGCACTATATATTTGATACGATACTCCCAAGTTAAATGAACGACGCGTATTTTATTATTGTATTATATATTGAAACACGAAGCGGTTTTGATGCGCATACATTGGCGCGAGACACTATTGTATATCTCTAGATGATAAAGAATTACGAATAGGATGAAGAAAACTACAATTGATATTTCACAAATTAATACAACGAACAAATCTCAAACGGTACAAGTTTCTGACAGATCACCGATACAGAAATCCCGAATTTATGTTATACGCGGTTAATAAATAATGAAATATGAAATTAATTACGATCATATATTGACGATTAATTTGAATTGTAGTCATTAGTCGTTGCAGTCAATTGTGATTGATTGTAGTCATTAATTATCAATCCGTACCATTTCGTACAAGCAATGTTTCGTTAATGACCAAAAAATTCAAAAATAATATCAACAATCCTAATATCATACAATATTCAGATAACAAAGTTTTGACTAATTAAGGCGCGATAGATGGTTTGAAAATATACAATTGAAATTTAGTATTGTACACTTCAACACAAACATATAAATTCAACGAGAGACATCGAGATAAATATTATAGGTTTTCATTATTCAAAATTACTCGATTTGATTATTATTTCGCACTTTCAATATAAAGACAAGATAGACTAAACAAATTATTTTTAGACGAATTATTTCAAAGCGCGACTCTTGAATGGTATAGGTATTCAAATTTAAGAAGCTTTAAAATAAAAGCTATAGCCTGTAAAAATATTATAAAACAATAAGTTAACTCTCTATCCGAATCGTTTGAATGCCAAACGTGAGAATAAATTACGCGAAATATTTCTTCGATAAATAACCGTTGTCGCCACAGATCGTTAATCGTAGGAATTCATTAATTGCACTGACCAATAGTTATGTTCGTCCGGTGATTTGTGATACTTGGCGCGATTGCATTTTGATAATGCGCGATAGCATGTGGAACGTTTTACCGACTCCAGTTTCGTTACGCGAATGCCTAACGTTCCGCGACGCCGGCGTCGGCGGCCTCGTGAATCTCGTGATCGCGCTGTAAGTAGTGCAACAAAACAAAACAAAACAAACAAAACGTGACGCGGCGCGCGACCCCTATCTCTTACCGGTGACCGGTCACGCCGAGACGCAGCGTTGGACGATTTATAAGCTCGATCTACCTATAAGCCTAAAGCCGTAATCACACTAGCGATTGGCGATTGTG